AGGGCAGCGCCAATTATATGGTTACATGGCAGACAAAGGAGACATGGATATCTTTAACCGGCATTCTCCAGGTCCTCGCTCTCCTGGCCTACACCTATAGTTGATAATTAAATGCATAGTTTATTTTTGGTCTTGGAGATACAAGAGTACTTCTACTAGGTTCTTATACAATTATGTTTTGTATGCTGTGCAATTGATTAGGTAAATCCAAACTCAAATTTGAGATGAGATCATACAAGGAGGTGGTTGTGGGCCAGATGAAGCAAATGAATGAAGACAATCAGCAGCTTGTCTGGTTCAAGAACAAAGTTGCCAAGGAACAGAGGCATTCCAAAGCCCTTAAGGAGTCTTTTGGTATATTATCTGAGAAGCTGCAGAAAACCTCAGAGGAAAACCGCATTGTGAGGCAAAGAACAAAAAAGCATCACGAAGAAAACAAGGAAGAGGTAATTGTTAACTGCAATAAATTTTGTTTCCTGTGATGTTGAATTTGACTCTTCCCCAGCCCCAAGTGACGGTTGCTTGCACTACTGCCTTGGGCATTATGTGGGTGTGTGCGCTTTAACATAACCATAGGTTGTGGTGTTTGTTCCTCAAATGATAACTATAATAAGGACTGAATCCCTCAAGACCTTTGGTAAATATAGTTGGCATATGCTATTGCTGGGTAACTGCTATAAGTACTTCCCCCCACCCAAATTGTATAATTAGCCAATTTCATGTAACAAGTCATCAAGATACCACTGTTAGATTACTGGAATGCCTTGTAGACTATATCTCAAGTCGAGTAGTATATGTTGTGAATACGCATAATGAGCTTCAGATAAAGTTGTACGTTTATTTATTTATTTATTTTTTTGTTTCTGTTCACAATTTCGTTCAGACACCTATTGTATATATAATTTTGATTTTCTGTTATAATTCTTAAAAATATTTCCTTCACTAATCGCTGACATATAAAGAACTGCTCAGATCTTTGTCAAAATTTTACCCATTCATCATATCTCTTGAAAAGGAACGACCAGTTTGATGAAGTTAGGTTTAGGGTGTATCTAATGAGAATATTTCTTTTCTTTTCAGTTGTACTCTTCATACCTTCCATGAATAGCTAAGGAACCCTTCAACTACTTCTTTGTATAATAGAGGACATGTTTATGTTTTTGGAGCTTGTAGTTTACTGCAACAGTCTTATGACTCTGCACCTGATGAAGGTGGAAATGGCTGTTGATTTTGAAGGGCATACATTTGCAATTTTATTGCTGAAGTTTTGTGTTTAATGTTACATTTTATTTTTCCCTTTTTTGGAGGATCATGGATTGCAAATTGCTTGATTCTGCAGGTACCCATCCTGCCCTGCAATGGTTATACAGTTAAATCACATAAATGCCTTTAGTGTTCTCATATATTACATTCACCTCCTTGCACAATTTATTCTGAAGTTTAGGGTTTTCATGCTGGGCAGGATAGGGCATTTGGGGTTTGGGAGGATAGGCTTCATCCCGTATATGAACCCTGCCATCCTTAGTTAGGGGCTGTGTGGGGGTGCATTACTTTTATAACTTTTTATTTACTGCTAATCGTGAATCATACAATGGCAAAGGTTCAGTTCTTGACACATTTAAATCACTAATAGATGGCAATCCTCAATCAGTTGCGATTTTACATTGGCATTGTTCATTTGTTCTATGTAGATCCCATTACCAACACTAATATAATTTACAAACACCCATGTTAATATAAATGTTGATATCCTCTATTGTGTTCAGATAATATGATTCCTGTTTATCCATGGTTTGTTAAGTGTGATATTTTACCTCAAAGCATCCTTCATAGTCAGGCTGTTACTTTTATCTTGAAATGATGGATCCTCAATACGTCTGCTGATTGGCTAGGGCAAAGTATCAGATTTGTTAAATCTGTAATGCGGTTGGCCTTATATATATATCCATGTACTTGAACAATTGCTCAAAACAGATGAAAAAGAAATTGAGTTGTTCATGATTTATGAATTGAAGTAGTTCATGTTAACTTATATATATATAAAAAAAAGAGTAGTTCATGTTAACAAATTGCACTTCTGTTCGACTTTGAGAGAATTATCTTACTTTTGGTTAATTTCTACAAGTCTGTGTTTGAAATATGCTTGACAATACTAATTCTATACTCTCTTTTTTTTCTTTTTTTTTCCCCCTCTCTTTTGGGTCCCTCTTTCCTCTTTGTTGTTGCCTTTTATTCTGCTTAGATGGACTATCTGGAACTGTTCTTCAAGGAACAACTAAGAATCATTCAGGACGCCCGGGATGCAAGGGAGGACAGTTTTGAGAAGATGCAACAACAGGAGCGAGAGAAAGTCAAACAAACAAATAGCTCTAATACATCTGATCACACGCACGGGTAATATTTGCCCCTTTACTACATTCTCTGTTATTTTAATTTCTTTTCCAATCCTTGGATATATTGCTGAAAAAATCATTGCTGTTCTTTTTTGGTCTATAAGTTATTATGAACTTCTGTGCTTCTCATTTTCTATTCGTAACCCTGGATATAGGGCGGAGGAAATTGCAAAATTCATTGAATTTCAGGACAAGGAGATGGAAGAATTTGTTGCAGAGAGGGAGAAACTGCTAAAAGATCATGAACAAAAAAAGATTTCAATGAAGAAAAAGCACGGGGAGGAAGAGGTTGGACTGGAAAGGGAGTTCGATGCTGAACTAGACCGGCTGATGGAGGAGGCAAAAAGAGCGGCTACTGATGGTAAGTAAGATGTTTTAGAGACGGGAGATAGAGGTCAGTTAGTACTACTACTATAAACACAAGAAACACAGAGAAACTTGAGTTAGTTTTTAAGGCTCATCATTCCCTTTACAACATTCTAAAGAACATAGGAAGATTGCAAACAGGTCATGAGACATCCATTTCAGAGATTAAGATTGGTTACTTGTTTTTATATGTAATGGAATGGTGCCTTGCTTTTTTGGTGACTTATTTTACGCGAAACTTGCTTGGTTTTACCACTGTTTATCTGTTCTATACTACATCTTGTCAGTCCTCGGGCAGGTACTCCTCTTTTTATGATGAAGATGAACAACGCAATCGGATGGATGTTATGGTACGCGGAGCAAGTGGAAGAAGACTATTTTCAAAGAGTTGAACACTCACACACTAAGAAGAGCATGGTGAAGAAGAAGGATATTTTCAAATAGTTGAACACTCTAAGAAGACGCCGACCGAGTTTCCATAAATAGACTGAGTTTTCATAAATAGGCCAGCTGATGATGAGCCCGATTATGTGATTGTTTTTAGTCTTGAGTCGTTTATAAGTCTTACGAATTTGTGATTGCTTGCTTTTAGTCTTGAGTTTGGAATTACGAATTTTATTTCTTGGAACCTGAAAAACTGAGAAAAAAGGATCCTCATTTCATGGTGGGGAATGAAAGCACTATTAAAGATGGCTCTTCCTGTCTTTTTATTGTTGTATTTGCTTGTCTTTTTTATAATTTTTAATTTTGTTAAACCAGAAGTGGTGCCTTTTTGTCTATCGAAGCATCTTCAAGAAATTGAAATTTATAGATTTTCTGGGGCTGAGTGGTGTTGATTATAAAACTGCTAATGTTTTCGAGGGGTTCAATAACCCGACAAATTTTACTTTCATAGACATTAGGCCATGGCGCATCTAATCCTCTTAACAGTTTCCCTTCTTATGTAAATGTCATATAGGTATGTATGTTGTTGACATTAAAGTACTTTTGTTGAATATGTAGGCTATGTATGTGTGTGTGTATATATATGTTTGTATACTTTGTACAGAAGTTAGGTTTAATTGATGACGGTGGTGACCTCATGGCTTCCATGAGCCGTCCAATATTGCTTCCAAAAGCTTTTGATTTTGTGTTTAATGACATATTCTAGCATACACTTTGATGTTGGAACTTGGAAGTTAGTTGATGTGAGAGTATTTACATTGACCTCCCTCGAGGCTTGTCATAATTACACGAAGCTCCCTTATAATTTTCAAAATTACTCTAATCTCTTCTAAATGCAAACCTTATTACACATACCTCCCCTTATAGTGACCGACCATGGGCTTGTATAATATAAAGAAACAAAAAATTAATCAATGCTCTTCAATTGTATTAATATATTGATTTTGTTGGAATGAAATATGTGTTAAACCATGGACTTGTTCTTTTTCTTAACTTTTAAGGCTTGCTCTCTTGAAGATGAGAAAATTTGAGTGAGGATTTGTTGATGAAGTATTGAAAATGAGATTTGAAAACTCTGTAACAGTTACATTGGAAGAGATTAGGGTTGTTTTGTATTGTCAAGTCACGTCGCTCTACAAAGTTCAAAATGTCTTTCAATTCTAACATGGGTGAGAGTGGTATTTTGAATACACTAAGTACATGACATTAACAAATTCCATGATTGGCTAATGTTGACCGTTAAAAAGGAGGTTAGTGTAAAAAAGCTTTGTGGAGGTTAGTGTAAAAAAGCTTTGTTTAGATGAGAGATTAGAATAATTTTAAAAACTACAAAACAGGTCCGTATAATTATAACAAATTATAAGGGAGGAGAATATAATTTATCCAAATTTATCCAAAAAGATTACTATGCATATTAGACGTTTTTTTATATCTCACGCTCTCTTTCATTATGCGTAGAAACATTAGTAAAGGTGCATTTGTGTTTGCCACTAAATTTTGGGTTTACCTTAACACTAATAAATGTTGCATACTATAATTTTGTAGAAATATTTGAAATACATATCATAATATTTAATTAAAAAAATAATTATTAAAGAATCTTTACAAAATTATCCTGAAAATATTTGCAAATTGCAATCACATGTTATTTATTTATTTATTATTAGTTAAATGTGATCCACAACATAGGTCTCCTTTACTCTATAGCAGAGAACAACGTTCGAACCCAGCTGTAGGAGCCGCCGACAGCCACCGACTTCTCACCGGAAAGCCACCATCTCTCAATCACTGGTTAGAGCTCTCACATTTTATTTAGGGATATTGATTTACGATTACTTGGATTTTTAGGTTTTAATTTAGTGCTTGGGTTTCAAGAATGAGTTGGGTCTATTTAGACATCCGCATGTAAAATCGATTTGCATGTTTCATGGACCTAAAAATCGTTTTGTATGTTTAGGGTTTCAAGAATTCATGAGGTAATGATGTACAAAATAGTTACAAAATAACTCAATAAGTAGCCTATTTTTTTGGGTCTCTCTTTGATTTTCATTCCTCTGATGATTTTTTCAGTCATATTAAATTCTTAGGACATTGTATTTACTAGATTAAGATTAAGAATCCATGTTAACCAACTGGACAATTTTTTTAAAACTTAAGGAGGTGAAATAAAATTTTTAATTAAAGGAGATGAAGTGAGGCCCCTGCAAATGGCTCTCAATTAGTTTACAAAACATTGTTCTATAAGTGGTAAACTGAATGTACTCCCTTTATTCCATTATAGTCACAGTTTACGAAGTGGACAACTATAATAGTACGAGGGAGTAATAGTTTCGAGTATATGAAAATATTGAGTTGACTGTTGAGACCATCATGTTGACGTGTGAATATATTATATACATAGTCTGTCTATGGTGAATGAGTGTATTGGCAAACATAACATTGTCTTGATGGCTTTTAACTCCCAAGGCCGAGGTCAAGGTTTCAGGTCAAGTAGAGAGGATAAATAATAATAATAATAATAATAAAAAGAAATATCGTGTATGTGTTGGTTTCCAAAAGAAAATGCGGTGCATGCCTGATGTGCATGATTGTAAACCATGGATAGGAAAAATTATATCAACCTTGTGCTATAACCCACCAATTGGAACATTCTACTAAAATGCGTCCCGCGTTCTAAAGGAAGTGAATCAGTGGACAACGTTGAAATGATTGCTTTGTTGTATCACCTAGGATATATAATTGTTGTAGTTGATACCCACTCGATGGGAAAATAACTTAGAGAACTTATAATAGGAGTCTTTTTCATCTATATGTTTTAAATGTCACGTCGCCATGGCCTGATGTCTGTCCGGAGTGAGAAATTGGCCCTTATAGAGAGGAATGAGGACCTTATATTTGCATTTCTGTCAAGGAACCAAGTTGTCTCTTATTTTGCGGAGTATCTGTTTGCTTTCTATATTGAAAGAAAATTTACTCGATAACTCTTCTCCTTTTAGTTGCAATGATTAATAGTCACATGTTTTCAATGTCTCTTCAACAGTTCCAATTTTGTAGGTTTCATTCAATTCTGATTCTCAACCACAATCTGTCATTGACTCCTTTTGAATACAATCCCATAATTCATTGTTCGGCTTAAACCTGTTAAAGTTTATAAGGCTTGTCAACTGCTGCATATTGTATTCTAAATTCATGGGCCTGACAAGATCCATCTGGTTTTAGTAGGTTTTGGATTAGATAATGTAATTATTTTTACAATTATCATATCTTACTGAAAAAACTTCCAGTTTTAGTTCCAAAATAATGGTGTGACTTACTGAAACGTTGATGCTGGTGAGCTCATGGCTTTCCAATTACCATACTTGCAACTGTATGTCTGTCCCACTGCAAACCTTCCAAGGCTTCCAAAAGCTTTGATTTTGTGTGTGATGATATTTGAGGAGCAGAGCCACTAGCAGATTCTAGTATACACCGCAGCCACTTCTCGCTATCATAACCTTCAGCTTGTACAATTAGAACCTTTCCTCCATGAAAAATTATTGCTGAAGGAGTAGACTCCATTCCCTACCTCTGTGGACGTTGAATGTAAGTCGGTCTGAAAATTACCAAAAAATTAGTATGCTTAAAAGTTTAACCACAAGGGAAGACATGAAGCCCCAGAGAATTGGCCTTGTTTCTCACTTCTAAGACATGAAGCACCAGAGAATTGGCCTTGTTTCTCACTTCTACCATTCCTGCAGTACTTTGTGATTTCTTCTTTCCCAGATGAAAAGAATAACACTGTTTCTCAATCCTTTTACTTGTCATGTGAATGCTTATTGTATACTAAATGTAGTGTGGGCCTTAGTTTCCAACATAAATAAATAAATAAATGTAGTGCATGCCTTCATTTGATTTGTAACACAATTTTATCTAGTTTTCAACACTCTTAATCTGAAATTAAACCCTAGTTAAAATCTGATTTTTAACAATCTTAATCTAATTTTCAACACTCAATCTGCTTTTCAATACCATTTTATCTAATTTTCAATAGTCTTAACCTGATTTTCAACACTCTAATATGAGGTTCAACACCTCTCAACACTGTTTTATGTAATTTTCAACACTCTTAACCTGATATTCAACACTCTAATATGATGTTCAACTCCCTAAAACCTGATTTTCAACATTCTTCTAATTTTCAACACTCTTAATTTGATTTTGAACACCATTTTTATTTAATCTTCAACACTCTGAACATGAATGAAATCATATATATATATATATATATATATATATATATAGTATGTAAAATATCTCTTAAAATATTATTAGCCTTACATTAACATACATATAATGTATGCCTGTACCATTAACAATATCTTATTGCGTAAACACACTTATTATTTGTAATTCAGCACATTCGACTAGTTATTTTCAGAATTCAACACACTCAATCTATCTTAGCAGTTATCCATGCATTATTTCTGAACTTTAGCACATATTATTATTTTTAAAATTACTCTTGACTTCTCCTGTTAGACGCTTATCATTAACACCGATAATGTAAAATGTGCAATTACTAATTTGTTCACGTTAATATTTCAATATAAAATTACATAAAGATTTAAATTTACGAAAAAATCCTGGCATAACAATCGATACAATCTTATTGCATTCGATGGATATCTTGGACAGCTAGAGAGAGAGGAAGTGGACTATTGTCTTTCATTTCTGTTCAACACATTTTTTAGAGAGAGGATTTCGGTCTATCTCTTCAACACACCTATAGATAGTTTGATAGAGGAAGTGGAGGACAAGGGTTTCAGTTCTCCATTTTCATTGCTCTTCAACACAAAAGAGAGAGAAATAAAGTGACGAAATGGTAAGAAAGACTAAATTAAACACCTTCTTTGTTATGTTCTTCAGTGCCTAGGAGGAGCTTTGTTTGTGAGAAATTAATGTTGTTGTGTATCCTATATTTCTCTATTTAATCAAAATTCAATTTATCTACGAAATTTTTTTGTGTGTGTTCACAACTTCAGTGTTATGTATTATTCTTGTAAGTATGTATAAAGTAATTCTTCCTATAAATTTTGAATATCTGTCATTTGTATTACATGTACATGAGTTTTCTAATTTACAAAGTGGTTCCACATTCAAAATTCTCCAACATGTGGTGTCCGTCAAAAGTACTATGTGGGGCTATTTTTATATATACAAAGGGCAGTGACATGTAACTTCTATCTTAAGCTGAATTAGCAGAGAAGAAAGAGCCCAAGTGATTGAAGCAAGAAGACCAACCATCTGCATCATGTAAACATTTCTTCTTTGAGCTCTGTCACTCTCCGTGTTTTCCTTACAATCAAAATTCCCATAGACACAGATTGTTTTGTACTGTATACTGTTTGACTATTACAAAATTCTCAATAATTTTATAAACTTGTTATTATTTTAATTCAATTTAACTTTTTTATTTTTTCTCATGAATAACGCTAACTCGTCTCGTCTGGTCTTGAACACTAATCCTTTTTCCCTTTGACAAGTTGAGAAGATTCATTAACTACAGCCTTTGGTCATTCTTATTTCAAGTAGTTAGCATAATATAATCTTTTTAAATTTCTTATCTGTTTTTGCATTGCAGAACCATGACTTCAATCTCAAAACATGAGGGATCTTCAAATGAAGTGAAAAAAGTTAACAAGGGAGATATGATAAGCAGCTTGCCAGATTGCCTTCTTGTTCACATTCTCTCTTTCCTTCCAACAAAATACGCAGTCGGAACCAGCATACTCTCATCAAGATGGAAGCACCTCTGGGCTTCTGTTCCCACCCTAGACTTTGATGTCAACTTGAGATTTAAACCTGTTCAATCATTCTTAGCGAGTTCTTCCAACTTCATGAACTTTGTTGATCGAGTACTTCTCCATCATGATTTGTCCTGCATTCAAAAGTTCTGTCTATGCACTCACTCTATTGACACATACATTGGTGAATCAAGAATATATACATGGATAAGTGAAGCCATAGAACGTGGTGTTCAAGAACTTGACATCGAGTTTGACCAAGACACATACGATATTAACTTACCTTTAAACCTCTTCACTTGCCCAACATTGGTAAGCTTAGAACTAAGAGACCGTATATCTTTCAATGTTCCTCGTTCTGTCCATTTTGAAAGTCTCAAGGTCCTCCATGTTTCAATCAGTTATCCGGACAATGACTTGACACAATATCTTTTCTGTAATTGTCCTGTTCTTGAGGACCTGCTCATCGAAGGAGAAGTTGAGAGTAATGAAGAACTCCTATTTGATGTCTCCACTCCATCCCTGACGAGGTTTGAGTTAGATTTGGAGGCAAATATTTCGGATGATTGTGCGAACAAAATTGTGGTCAATGCACCAATTCTGGAATATCTTACACTCGAAGATGATTACTTGCCTTGCTATGTGTTAGAGAACCTGAACTCGTTGGTTATAGCAATAGTTCATGTTGGAGATTGTTGTATAAAAACCAAGGCAACCAAACAACATGCTGATCGTGTACTTGCGATTCTTAGGGGAATTATAGGATATATATTTTGGTGTGTGTATATATATATATATATGACATGAGAACCACCAAACTTTGTATTCAGTGTATCTCCTGAACTTTTTAGGGTTGTAAGGTTTAAGAATTCGACGTCACAGAAAAAATTTAGCACAAATTTTGAACTAAACTTTCTTCAATTCCAGATTCAAGGCATCGATTCGGTACTCCTAAACATAACTAGAGATTTCTTCTTTCTCATTTGGTAAAGTGGAGACGTTCTCAATCGTCTAGTTTTTGTATGCTAAATGTAGTGACGACGCGTGTATGCTAAATGTATTGACCACCCGGTCTCTTGGATGGCGTAATCTCTCTTTTCTGAAGGGGGAGGTTAAGAGTTTGAGTCCCACTAAGAACATCAATGATTTTTATACCAGAGTAATTGTAGTGAATTGTCATATTAACTTTTTTTAATTGATCACTTATGCAAGAAATAACTATGTACACTAATAATCCAATAATGAATAGATTATTTTGACCTTTTTATCGTTTTATTTTTTGGGGGGACTTTACCCATCGAACTTCCGTTTCAGAGAGTTGAATGGATACTACTCAGGTATTATAATAGGAACGAAACAATAACTATCAAATGAAGAAACAAGTGAAATTTTATATATGAATTTATATAAACAGTTGCCTATTTAGTACGCATACATACGGTCGAAAACCCAAAAATCTCAAATTTTAAATAGTTTTCCTTCGATATGAATTATACGATAACAATAGTTTATGAATATTTCTAAGTTAACCAATCAATACACACAAAGGCATTTAGTGTCATCATCCTCAATGTGTAAAATAAACAAGATCATCACTAACATATAAAAAAGTGAAAAATTAAATGAAATGAATGGTGTTATCGGATGCATGGAACTTTGCAGGAGACAAAAAGGTTAGTGGAAGGTTCAAGAGGAGTCAATTCAGTTTAGTGTCATCATCCTAATCAACTTTAGGTTCTTCAATTCTTGGTTGTTATTGATATTCTAAAACTCTAAGGCTATGTTCTGTGTACGGAATTAGAATTTTAGAATTGAAATCGGTGAAGTCGAAAAAAAAATTAGTTTAATTTTTTGAGTTACTTTTCTCCAATTCTAATTCTAAGATTCAAATTCCATGCAGCCGAGCACACTTCTAATGTAAATTCAGTTTGGATTTTCACTCATACTTCTCATGGAAATGAAAAACAGACGAAGAGATATGCGTTTGAGTTGAAATTTAGGATAGCCATGTGAGTCGGTTTTGGCCAAGACCCTAAAGTCCTCAATTGTATCATTTTTCTTTTATTTTTAATTTATGTTTGCTTGACTAATACAAAGCACTAATTTCATCTCTTTGAATAGTATAATTTTTAACTCATTTTATCCATCTACAATAGTTGATATTAAAAGAATATTAATAAGATTTACCTACCCAAATAACATTGCAACTCATACAAAATTACAAACCTAATAAATAATCTCAATTTAGAATGTTTTAAGCTTCATTTTCTAAAATTTATTTTTATATAATATACTCCCTGTTTACTATTTTTGAAAATTCATTCTTCTCCTTGTTTAACTATTTTTTAATTTTAAATTTTTTTTGGGTCCATTTATATATGTATATGTGTGTGCCCGCGCGCCAAAATGGACATAATTAGTCCTCCGCATAGCTCCAAAAACACCTTATAGTAACATTACACACACACTCTCTCTCTCTATCTATATATATATATATATATATATATATATTATTCAGAAAACTATTTTTAGATACAAGATTTAAAAACTATTTTATAATTTTATCAGCTAAATAGATATTCAAATTGAAAAAACTGAAAACTTTTTTTTTATTCTGATTCTGGAAAACAGTTTCATAGCTACAGTCTAAGCTAAGGCGGTAAGATATTCAACACCACGATGAATATCTCCCTTTCAATTTTGTTCATGTCCATTACAGATATAATCCTATGTGGATCTCTTTTTGGGGAATGAAAAGGAAAGAGAAGGAGACCGCAAAGTTGTCATTTCATTAATTAAAAAAACGTAGGGCTCGTAAAATTGAGAGCGCCAATATCACCTGCCTTTGTTTTAATATTTACATAAAAACTAAAATTACACAAAAGTCCTTACATCACTACCGATGTGATTTGATTGCATTAGATAGGGTATCTTTTCGTTTTTCACACTTAATTGGACAAACAGAGAAAAAGTAGAAGGGAAATGAAATGAAACCAAACGATAGTATTTTTATTTAAATATAATAAATTAAAAAAAAAAAAAAAGGGAAATTGTAATAACTAAATTATTATAATATTTTTTTTGAAAAAAAGAGATATAAGTAAAATAATAATTTTTTCTTTATAATTATCGAGGATAGTCTTAAAATTATAAAAATACTATTCAAACAGTTTCTTCCTTGTCTTTTCACATTTTAAACCACTCGATCACACTTAAATCCTATCATACGAAGTGAAAGAAAGGGACGATTAGGGTTTTGTTCATCTCTCCTTTAGAGCAACCCCAATGCACACATTGTTTTCCATTCCACACTTTATATAAAGTGTGTATTCATGTCATCAACTTTATATAAAGTGTACAGCTACGTCAGCATGTGATTGTACCATTATTTTAAAGCCTCTAAGTTCTTGTTGTGTACTCATTTTTTTATTGTACACTTTATTATATTATTATTTTTTAAATAATAAAATAATTTTTTATTATTATTATTTTTTTCTTAACAATTTTATTCTCAACAACTATAATACTAATGGCTATAATTGTTTGCTCCGATTTAGATACAAGATTTTAAAATTATATATATATTAAAAAAAATAATATTACATATATATATATATATATATATATATATATATATATATATATATAAAAGTGCATTACATAGCTTCCTACAAATAAAATAAAACAATACAACTTGGAAAAAAAAAATACATTAATACTTCCACACATGAAAAAAATATAGTAAACATTACAATTAATTGCCCCTTTTTGCATAGCGCGCCATAATTTTATTTTGTTGATCCTCGATCCATGTTTTCACCGCCGGTGTTGCAGCATCATTTGTATTTTTTTCCATCATTTGTCTTTCCCAAAGAACTTGCTCCCGCTCAATCTCCATCATCTTCATTTCTTTTTGCGCCTCGAGCTCCTTTAATTTCATTTCTTTTTGCAACTCAAGCTCCAATCGCCTTGTCCGTTCTTGTTCCATGCCCAAATCGAATTTCGATTTCATTTTTAAAGTACGAGATTCAAGTGCTAAGTTGTCCATCAACTTATTTTGCTCGGCAAATCCTTGAAACGATGTAAGAAATAAGTCATTTTGTACCTTATCTTTACTTTTACGACCTTTCTTGGCAGCTTTTCGCCCAATAGGTCGTAAAGTGTCACGTGAACTTTCGTCTATGGCCGGTGAGTCGTCATCGCCAAGGTTTACCGAACTTGGTGTTGATACTGCAGGAGTTGACTGAGTAGATAGATTAGTTGGGATTGAACCTGGTGTTGATGGAACTGTTTCGTAACAATCTCCAGGCTCATTCATATCAAGATCTATAGCTCTCTTATTTATTTTGGTGTTTGTTATTTCTTCATTGTATCACAATTTTGAAGCCATTTTGAAGATTTCCGAAGAAGATTCCAACAGTGCTCCAACTTAAATGGCTCCCCTTCTTCATCTTCATACAGTACTTTTGCTGTCATGTGCTATAAATATTAAACAAAAACTATATTTAGACAGATTGTCAATTAAAATAAATATTTATTTTTAAGGAAATTTAGACAGTAAGAAATTTATTACAAAGTAAGAAACTTACTACATCTTCAACGTCATATCCACTTCGACATTAGTTTTGGATCTGTTGGTGGTATCCATTTAATTTGCTGACTACTCGCCTAATTATTGAGAATCGATTCGACAAACCTGACTACTGTCAGTTCTTCTCCATGTCGCCCATTTGGCATTTGAAATCAGCATGGATACATCCCCAATATGTGCCACTTTGTTGATCTGCACCTGTTATTGGATCTTCCCCAATATTAATCAACGCTTTGCATAACGCTTCATCTTCTTGGGTGGACCAATCTTTCCTATCTTTCCTTGAATTAGACTTGGATTGAGAAGGTTCAGATTGAGATACATATTGGGAAGGAGGTTGAGATTGGATAGGAGGTGGGTATTGGGGAGGAGGTGGGTATTGGGGATGAGATTGGTATTAGGAAGAAGGTAGGTATTGAGAAGTAGATTGGTATTGGGAAGAAGGTAGGTATTGAGAATGAGATTGGTATTGGGAAGAAGGTAGATATTGGGAATGAGATTGGTATAGGGAATGTGGTGGGTTTTGGAAAGGAGAGAATTAAGATTGAGATAGGTTTTCAAATTGGTAAAATCCTGAAAAGTAAAAATTATAATTGAATTGTGGTTGTACTTCAGAGTTTTGCGATGGGGGTAATGGAGATCGTTGATCCATGGAATGTTCAAAGAAGAAAATTTCGTCAGAAAAAATTGAAAGGAAGATTGAGAAATAAAAGATAACTAACTGATGAATGATGAGAAATTTTGATAGAAATATAGTGGTATTTATAAAGAATATGTAATATTACAAACGGCTATATTTTATTTGTTTTTTCTCAACAACTATATTCTGTTTGTCTTTTTCCTAACGGCTATATTCCCAACGACTATATTATATATGTTTGTCTTATTCTAACAGCAAAGAGTACAAACTTTTTTTTAAAAAAATAATTAATTAAATTATTATGCAAATTAAATGACTCTTTTTATTTATTTAAAAAAAATGACTTTTTTTTAATTAATAAAAATTTAATTATTTTTATATTAATTAATTAATCCAATATACATACCATACTTATTTTACATATCACTACACAATATCACATTTTTATTTTATATTATTCTCACACACAAACCCACAAAATGGCCCACTCCTCTGCTGCGACTGCGCGTTTGACAGGTGCTACTCCATTCCTCACCTGTGGTGTGTTGAGTGTGTAACATTATGTGGGCCCTGCAAGTGTGTAAGCTGCACAAGAAAGACTTTGCTTCTACACAGTCATACATATTACACACATTGATGGTGCGCTGGGGTTGCTCTTACACTCAGATAGTTTTAGAAAGGAAGTGGAGGCCTAGGGTATCAGTTCAC